GTTATTGAAAATCATATTGATAATTATCACCATCATTTAATTAATATCCGAGACTACACATGCTCAGGAACTTGATCAGATATCCATTCAACAGCTGTACAGTGGCTGTGCTGGTCTTGAGTTTTACAGCTAAGGAAGTAATTGCTTGGAATTCTTAGTCCCTGCCCGAAAGCTCCCAGCTGCCAGAGGCAGCTTCAGATTCAGATTCAGATCTTCGTAACTCTCAAATGTCTGCTGTCAGCCACTATGAGAATAAACTAAGCACCAGATTGCCTCTGAGCACCTGATTCCATGTTGCCAGTTCAGAGCACTAAGCATCACACCACATCCAAGACAATTTGAAAAATAAAACTTGAACAAGACCTGCCGGCTCCAGATCACCAGAACCTGGAGATAGCTTCAAAACCAAAGCTTTGAGACAAAGAGTCCTGATTTTGAGTGTGAAACTATGAATTCTTCAAAGATGTAAACCTCCACTTCCTCTGGCAACGTGTTCTCTACACTGGCTGCCTTGGTTACTAAGGAAAATTATAGACCTGACCATCGGCCATGCTGCTAATTCATACCAGAGTGGGCTGTCCTCCGCCACTCATCAATACTTCACTTCCCATTATTCCTACGAAAAATTCCCCACTTAATCCCATCCCCAGGTTATGATACAGCCCACATCTACAGGACCAAAACTGTGGAGACAAACTGTGTACCGTTCTTTATCTACATATAAATAAGAAAATCTTCACTTGCACAAAATGCTATCACTTCTAAAATTAATTCATGAATAATATGCCTCCACATGACAGTTAGTATAGTCCATTTACTGATTTCAGAAGTGAATCTCAGGCAAGAAGTTCTGTCAACAATATACATCACAGGATCTTAAAGGCATGTCTTCACATGACAAGAAAATTAATCTTTTGGAGGAAATAGTTGAAACATTCTAGGCAATTGTGACATGGGGTTTTTTTTCCTGCTAGTTTTACCAAATCCAAAAAACAGACCACTTGTAATCTTGAAAACAAAATATTAAAGAATTTTTAGAAATAAACAGAAAACAGTACCTGAAGTCAGTTTTCTACCATTAGAACTGGTTTTTCTAAGTCTCAGGGTTTTTTTAGACTTATGTGAACTTCATGATAAAACTCAAAGTCTAAAATATTTTTTAATAGAACTGGGTGATATTTTTTTCTAGTATTCTTGCTAAAATTATTTCATTTTGTCTTTAAGTAAGAGTCAATACTTCCAGTCATCCCCAAGCCCAGTAGTGAAGTGTGATCTAGACCTACGGCCTGTACTCTCAGGGTCTGAAATGCAAGACAGAGATAAACTGTGTACACGCATTTGTGTACAGACAAAGCAAGCTGCATGATTAATCACCATATGTCTGGAGTTTGTGTTGTTGTTTTTGTGTGTGTATTTTTTTGGGGGCGGGGGGGAGATGGTGCTAGGGATGAGATCCAGGGACTTATATTCTAAGCAAGCACTATACCTCTTAGCTACAACCTAAGCCCTTATGTCTACTCTTCAAAATCCTGACTTTGAGGTGGAAATGTTCATCTTGTGTTTAAAAAAGAAACACGAGCTGAAAAGTTAATTTTTTTTCTTTTAAATTGGTAATTCCATTTTAAACGGTCAAGCTGTGTACCTCATATAATGCCAACACAATCCATAAACATAGCTCATAGGTGACAAATTAACCCGTTTCTCTGAAGTGGCGGTAATGTCTGCCAGGTAAGCTGAACCATGGCCAGGCCTGGACTTACCCATGTTAATAAATAAGAGAGTACAGCATACACAGTCTCTCAAGCTGACCTACTGTGCTAACAGGTCCCTATCACACCTCATTCATTTGAAGCAAGCCCACCTGAACAGAACTTCCTCCGCTGGGCTTCCCCACAGAACCGTGGCAAGAATGACTATGAAGAAGAAAGGGACAGCAGTGGGAATCTTTTTCTGACACTCAGACACTGTCCTCTCTCCATACCATCTCACGCATCCCCGGCTTACAGCTATGACCCGGCAGATAGGTTGCATACCAGAAGCTTTATAAGTATTTAATGAAAGAGACTATGAAACCAAGCCCCCCCACCCCCACACACACACCTCCATCTCTACTCATTATCTAAATAAAAAAGCAGTTGGTGGATGACCTTTACAGCTGTTTCTTTGAAGTAACCATTTCCTTCTTTCCCAGCTGGGAGCACACAGAGACGAGAATCAACACTTCTTAAAGATACAAAAGAATCTAGTTTGCAACAAAACAAAGAGAACAAAAAAGTTACCCGATGATTCAGCCAAGCAATAACTTAGAGGGTCAATGGACAAAGAACTGAAACCATTGAGCCTGCTCTGCTCTTAAGGACGCCGTGTTAATCATTGCTAAAGGCCTGAACACTACCCCTCAGTTCCTCAGGGAGGAACCAGGTAAACTGTGTGAAAACAATGTAACATTTTGTTCTAGACTATGACCCATAAATAGCCACACAGTCCATTAGACAAAGGATAGCCAAGCCAACCAGCTACAAAGGAACGGCAAGCCTCAGAAAAGTTTTATTGTCATCAGACCGACAGCTATGAAACTAGCTACTGGAAAGAAATACAGCAACCCTGCTCACTAAACAGAATCTGGCACATCTAAAAATCTTAGGCATACCTTCTCAGAGAATGAGGAAGCGTGGGCATGTGCGAAAACCCGAGCCCACACAGACCGAAGACCACATGTGTTCAGTGGGCTGAAGAATGCCAACAGAAGGAAAGGAAGCAAAGAGAAACCAAACAAAAATATTGACGGTGATAAGAGACGCCTACTTGGTCCTACTAAGCCTCGTAGTACGCACTTAGGGGCGCCCAGATGAATGGCTCAAACCAGAGAAAGAAAAGGGCAGAAACTGTGTTTCCCACAGCAGGAGAATGAAAACCACTGGAAATACCATGAGTGCAGTTTTAACGTCATTTCTCATAACCTATAGGTTGACAACTGCCTAAGTATTTATTTCCTAGTAACAGAATCCAGAGTTCTGTGCATGAGTTCAGGACCACGCAGTTAGTTTTCTCTCCTCACACTGCTTCACACTTGCCCTCTTGTCCTCCTCACAATCCTTCACACTTGCCCTCTTACTCTCCTCACACTCCTTCACAGTTGCCCTCTTGTCCTCCTCACAATCCTTCACACTTGCCCGCTTGCTCTCCTCACACTGCTTCACACTTTACCTCTTCACACTCCTTCACACTTGCCCTCTTGTCCTCCTCACACTCCTTCACACTTGCCCTCCTGCTCTCCTCACACTCCTTCACACTTGCCCTCCTGCTCTCCTCACACTCCTTCACACTTGCCCTCCTGCTCTCCTCACACTCCTTCACACTTGCTCTCCTCACACTGCTTCACACTTGCCCTCTTGCTCTCCTCACACTCCTTCACACTTGTCCTCTTGCTCTCCTCACACTCCTTCACACTTGCCCTCTTCGTTCGCTCTACACATTCACTCAGCAGCAGGCATTGCACGCCCCATCTCACTACCAGCCCGGGGCTATCAGACTAAAACAACACAAATTTTCACGCAAAAAAAGATCCTCTGCATAGAATCGCTGACTCTCATTGGATCGGCTGTGGTAATTCGGTGTTAACACCTCCACCTCTCAATTCTTCTTCAGATGCACAATATCAGTTTATTCTCACGGTATTATCAAGGTAAGTGGGGAAAATGGCCACATCTCCGCCATGTTAACAACAGACATGCCAAGACAAAGATACCGACACCCCACAGTGACAATGGCAAGGGGCACCTGAGGCAGCCAGGCAGTCACTGATGAGGGGCTGTGGAGCCTCAGCTCTCACCTGCACGCACATAATAGCGTCCTGTAGACACCCGGAATGTGCTCCTCAGCACGTGAAAACAACAAAGCAGGCTGAGGACTAGTCCAGGACACAGGAAAGGACCGGGTGGGAGAACAGAAGACTCAGACGATGGGGAGGCATCCCACAAAGAGAAGCCTGCCGACCATGACAGGACCACTGCACTCATGACCTCACAGCAGCTCACAGCACAGTGGTTACCTGCGTACAACCCACACAAAATCAGACCACTCAACGGTCCAGCATGGAGGGGGGCAGGAGCACACAAGGCCCCACCCTAACTCAAGAGCTGGTGGTAGTTCCTGCCTACTGGTGGAGGAAGACTCACTTTTCCTTGGGACTGTGGCCACTGATAAGCTGTCTGCCTGCTGGTTGGCCTCACGCCCCTGCATAGACAGGCAGCACTAACTGGAATGTGAGTTACATTTTCTTTTAATAAAGAATGAAAGGACGTGAAGTTGAGAGTGAAATATGTTGGGGAGGGCTAGGGAAGAGTGAGGAGAAGGAATGTTGAAGATACACGGTAAACATGTAGGAAATTTTCAAAGAAGTTAAAAACATTGGGGCCCATCAACATCAACATTTCCTCACAGATGGGGGTGGGAGAGGGGCCTCACCGCTCCTGGAGGGACTCTTGACGGTGAATGGCTGCTGGCAGGGAAGAGATGTCACCCTCCTCAGTGGTACAGCCACTGGTAGGTTCCCCATGCTCCGGGAAATAGGCCCCCACCCCATGCTAATGAAACTCAATGAGTGACACACGAAATACATGAAAGGAGGGGGGGGACTGGGTGAAGAAGGGCCTCAGGGGGAGAGGCAGAAAGGGGTGAGGGAGGGTAACGGGCTATGAAAATAACTGAGTCATTAAATACATGAATGAAGCCATCAATTCCAAGAAACAGCAAGTGGCTTCTACGGTTTGAGGCAGGGTCTCGTGTGTGTGCCCAACTTCCTATGGAGCCAAAGATGACCCTGAACTTCTGATCCTCCGGCCTCCACCTCCCCAGGCTGGGTAACAAGCACGCACCACCATACCTTGTTTCTGCAGCATTGGGGGTGGAATCCAGGGCTTTGGGGATGCTAAGCAAGCACTCCACCAACTGAGATCCTGCCCCTGAAAATATGCCAATTATTCCCTGAGCAGACTCACCTCAGAGACAAAAATGATTTCCGGTTCTCAGGTTTCCACTTCCGGCCAGTGAGTGCTGTGTCACATGGAGGTGGCCTGCACACAAAAATAAATGACAATGGTAAAAGATTCGCTTTGACAGACAGTAGGCAAACAATAATTGCTTTTGCATAATAAATGCTTGATTCTCTTATACTTCTGCTTCTCATTTTATCTAAATTCCAAACACTGTGCGTGGAAAAGGCCACGAGGAAAGAAAGCATGAAGGGAGAGGCACAGGGTTAGCTCATCACCCCAGAAGGCTCTCTGATTTGATCCTCACAAGATCTGAGAGGTTTAAACTGAGGTTTAAAGTGGGTTTTGAATGCATGTCTAACCCTAAATGCAATAAGTAGTTCATTCTTCATATTTTAATGTTTCCTAGCGTTCTATCAACTATAAGTAAAAGAGGCCTATTTACATGTTTCCCATGCACAAATACACAGGTGTGTCCAACCCAAGGCGTCTAGACAAACAGAGCAGCAAAATTATTTAAATTCCAGGTGTTTTTAAACTGTCCTGTTATTAAAATGACCTATGCTCCCTTCCTCTAATCAGCTGCAGCACTTGGGAGAGTAGCCCCTACGCCACACCAGGGCAACACAGTGAGCTGGCCCTGAAGGTGTAGGCGTGGGAGAGCCGACCCTGAGGACATGAAAGCAGGAGAACTGGTCCAGCCTCTTGCTCACTGCTGCAAGGGGTGAACTAGCCTGGGCAATGCTGGAGAGCTCACACTGGTGGTAAGGACAAGGGAGAGCTGGCAGGCTGACCAACCCTGTAACTACCCAGGCCCAGAACCAGGGTCATGGGGTTGGCCCACCCCAACATCCACCCCATCTGTGCTCTTCTGGAGCACCTGAAAGGACCGGTCCTGTAGATCCAAAGCTGCAGGATCTCCACGACACAGGACAACAGCAAGATCACCAAGAGGAGCTCCAGTGAGGGCCCAGCATTGATAGTGTAGCAGAAACCAGAGACCTCGAACCAGACCAATGACTCCGCAATGAACACTTCCAAGTACAGATACATGGATAAAAGGGTTTACTGTGTGACTCACTGTGTCACACTGCAGCTTCCATGATGAGACTGGCTTTTTCTTCTCTTTTTATTCCCTCTTAAATTTTATTTTATTTTATTTTTTTGGGGGGGTTGCAAGGGCAGAGGGTGGATATGAAGGGACATGGAAAGTAATGGGATGGAGATACATGATATAAAAGACACACACTTCATTTATAAGAGTAAATTCAAAGAAAGTTCAAAAGTGACCTATGCTGTTGTAATTTATATTATAAAATGTATTGGAAGGAGCTGGAGAAACAGCCCCGTTGGTAAAATGCTTGCCATAGAGGCATGAAGCACTGAGACCAGCCTCCAGCACCCATGTGAAAGCTGGGCACAGTGGCCCATGCCAAAGGCCTCCATGACAGAGACAGAGAGAAAGATCCTTGGGTTTGCTGGCCAGTCAGTTCTTCCAACTCAGTGAGCTCCAAGTTCAGGAATTCTGTGTCACAGAACAAGACAGAGAGTGTCCAAGAAAGACACTTGACATATATACATCCAAAAAATAATTATCATCTTGAAATTCTCATGTTTCAAAAACCCTACTTTAATTTGTGTGGCTTGACACCTAGCAAATCTACCTGTTTGTGAATCTAAAAATCATATTACTAGACAAACCTGAAAAATGAAACATCACTATAATTAATAGGAACTCAGCTCGATGACTAGAATCAGCAATATATTATCAACAATTTTATAACAAAGGCTCTCCCCGCAAATAGCTCACAATACTGGCAAACACAGGCATAAATGTTAATACTTCTTGGTACTATTATAAAGTATGAGCAAGAGGCTGCATGAGGTTTTCCTCTCAATGCGTTAACAGCAACTGATACTCAGTGTCTACACATTTCAATTCAAGGGTTGCAAACAGCGACATTAAATAGGCTGGAACATATGACTCAAGCCCGAAAGGTTCCCTCTCTATGCTACAAAGCACCTGAGCATGGCACCATGTGGATCCAGTGCCACACGCTTACAATGCATGGCTTCAATTGTCCCCACAACAGCCCTAGGCAGGAGGCTCTTCCGTTAGCCTGATATGACAGAAGGGAAATGAGGCACGCAAACATTAGGTCACTTGTCTAAAGTGGCCACGGTCACTGCAGAACCAAACGGACGCCACAAAGTTCTGTCTGCAGAACTCGGGCTTCCATGGGTGGTCCCAGGGCTGACTATGTAGGTGACACTGTCACCTAGTTACTGTCCTCCTCAACACATAACAAGGCGACTTGTAAGCTGTTATCACCATGATTTCATGTTCCTTCAAAACCAGTGCCTTTCCATTGTTTTATCATTTATCAATCCACACACAGAATGTCACCCTATGACTATACTCCATGAGTGCTTCTCATAAATGCATCATTTCCCAAACATCTCCTACCATTAAAAACTCCAAAATGAAGAAAGAATCGAGCATGTATCCAGTTTTCCTTCTTATAAGGTGCACATTACTGAAACAAATGATAAGTAAGAATAAGGTTTTAGATGAAAGTATTCCAGGTAAAAAATGAGATAGCTTGGCAATTGCTCTACCAAAATTGGCAGCCCCCAATGCCTGAGTATCTAGGCAAAAGAGCAGGCAGCATCTGCCAGAACAACCACAAAAGATGCTTCTCACTGGGGAAAGAGGCGTCCACTGAACAGTGGGTCGTACTTACAGTACGGTGTAAGACATGGAGAGAAAGAAGCAAGATGGAGAGGGAGAGACAGATGAACAGAAGCAGAGAGGAGGGAGGAGGAAAAAGAACCCAAATTGAGTTCCAATTCTAGCGCTCTCTCTCTCTCTCTCTCTCTCTCTCTCTCTCTCTCTCTCTCTCTCTCTCACACACACACACACACACACATACACACACACACACTTCACCCAGGACAGAGGGACATGTTGAACTACTCAAGCGGTCACTGGAATCACGTACCGCTAGGAAACCCCACACACAGCACAATGAGGCCACTTCAGCGAGTGGCCTGGGAGACTAATGGAGGGAAGCAGAGAGAGATGTTAATTTCACACCGCAGTCAGAGGGCTGCATCTGGACGGGCACTCAAAGTCTATCTGAGAAGACCTCTGGCAATCTACTGACATGTTCACTCACTGAATACCTAGTAATATCTGAGCTATGATAATGAAAATATAGTCGGGTCTTCTAAAAGCATTAATATCTGGGGGAATAATGAAGCAGTTACAAAAAAAAAATATTGTTGAAACTGGCTTGACTTGATAAGGGAGGACAAAAATGAAATAATAGCCGAGCACAGTGGCACACGGCTGTGATTCCAGCACTTGAAAGTGAGAGAGGACCGTGAGTTCAGGGCCAACCTGGGCTACATGGTGAGACCTTGATTCAAACACAATCAAACAGCGACAACACCATGAACCTAAAGGACAGGAACAAGCAAAAAGTGCCAAGGATGAGCAGCCACTTGAAGTTCTGACTCCACTGCATTCACTACACTATTCTACCACATTTGCAGAGATGAATTATGCTATGAGGCAGACTTTTAAAAAACAAGGAAATATACATCAAAACCTGGTACCTCACATATTAGAATAAAAACATTAAAAATAACTTAAAATTTAACCACATGTTCTGAGAAGGTAAAGTACTTGTTTTTACTAACTAATAACAGTAGCCAACTCTTCAGCGAGAAGGTATTTCTCAAAATAGCTCACTTGACATGTTGCATTCTGTGTGCAGTATCTGCTGATGTCTATATTCGGAATACCAGTACATGAAAAGCAGCAATTCCACTGCAAAGTAATAACGGTTTGAAACTATCAGAAGATTGCCAGGCTCTAGGGGTTTGGTTTCGTTGGTGGTTGATTTTGTTAAGGAATTGTTTTTATTATCCCTTCATATGTATGCCATGCGTATCGATGTGGGGGTATGTGCACTTGTGAACGTTGGTATCTGAGGAAGCCAGAAGAGGATGCTAGATCCACCGCCGCAGTTGGAGTTACAGATGGTTGTGAGCTACACAACATGGGTGGCTGGAAACCAAACTTGGATCATCCACAAATTCAGCAGCTGCTCCTAGCCACCAAGCCACCCCCAGGTCACCCCTAGGCCACCCCCAGGCCCCCGGGAGTGCCATTTACTTCCAAAGTGTTGAGTAACCTTTTACTGGCACAGAACACACTGCTGAAGGACACAGGATGAACTAAATGATAAGTAATGCTTTACATTCTTCAAGATTGCATGATGCATTTGTCATTTAAATTAGTATAAATCCTCTTAGATGATGAGGTAGAATTGGGCATAAAAAGGTGAAAAGAACAGATTTTGAAGTTCAATTTTGGTTTTACCCCTTATGAGCTTTTTATTATCTCAAGCAAGTTCTAGATCTTTCACCTGTAAGTGAGGAAAAATTTTTTTCCATTCAAAGTGTTGAGTCAACATTCAATGCAGTGAGTCAGCATTCAGGGACTAACAGAATCCTCACCATCTGGTCTGTGGTCATGCTTAAATATGTACCATTATATACATGATGGATCTCACATATTTTAATATTTTATATAAGCCACATTATTCAAGTGCCTAGTATTAAATATTTAATAGCAGATTTTCTAATTATCAGCATCTAGTCATTGTTCTGATATTTAACATTATTCTTATGCTAGCTAACATTAGACTCGCTTCTCCTAAAAATGCCAATAATATTCCCCATGATTGTAAATGAACATCAAGAAACACATTTGAAGCCCCTTTGCATATTGCAGCCTGGAGTAGACTGTGTAACCAACAAAGCTTTGTCTGTAATGTTTACTGATCTAAAGTGTAGTCTATGCATAAATGTCCCTGGGAAAATTTAAAGACAGACTTCTATGATGGCCAATTTGACGGTCATGCTGACACACCTGGGAAGAGGGAACTTCAATTGAGGACCTGTCTCAATTGATCAGCCTTTGGGGGGGGGGTCTTTGGGGCATTTCCTTCACTGGTAATTGATGTGGGAGGGCCCAGCCCACTCCAGTGGTCCTGAGCCTTTAAGAAAGC